TATGAAATGCTTGGACAATTTAATGTTGAAGTGGATATTTCAAACGCATAACTTAGAACCAATTATTAAGCCGGTGCGTTTCACGCATTGCAAGCTGTTGTGTAACACAATGATGAGATACTATTTAACCCTTGAATAAAGGCAAAGGAAACAGATATCTGCTGAACCCAGCACCAGCGGTTCATGTTATATAAGGAAAAACGTAACGAGGTCCACATCACATGATTTAGACGTTTCCTACTCAGTTGTAATAAGTTGTAAGTCAGACTGTCGACTGTGTTAAATCACGCTTTCCCAATAATGAACAATCACATTCCCGTTCGAACGATTTCACTTAGCGCCTTGCAATGGGCTCCTGTATTACTGGGAAGCAATTAGTTTCATATAAGTATCCAAAGACCTAATGTGTCCTATCAGATTGCTGCGTACAAGTGAGACCTATGGCAGATGTTTTGATCGAATGTATCGACGAGAAGACAGTGGAACAAAATGTTTTACAATCAGGAAGAACCGGTCAGGTAGCCGAAATTTGGTAAGATGTAGGATCTGAAAAGACAATCTGTTAAGTCCAAATGTCCACAATGTTTGCAAACGAGACATACCAATCCAGTTAACGGTAGTCAGGCACTGAGTGGACCATATCCAGTAGTAGGCAGGGTTTTCTAAAGCATTATTTAAGAATTAAACTCAAAGGGGTCAGCTAACGAATTGAGCAGCTAGTGCTGGCAACCATAAAATATGAGTTACTTTGTACAGTTCCTTATTTGAAGTGAGCTGCTGTACCGGGAATCATTTGTTTCTATGGTCCAAGCATTCGGATTGGATCTCAAATAGAAAATGGGTGTTGCTCGCCCGAAAACACTGCACTACTATGACACGTTTCGATGTTATTACATCTCATCAGATAGAGTTAGCAGGCATCGAACCCGGGACCATTGGGATGTTAGTTGTGACCGTTACCCCTAAGCCACCGAGTCACGACGGGCAACGTTCGGCCCAACGGTATACTGAACGAGCTCGAGGGTCATTTTGAAGTGCACGTTATGTGGATGTATTGCGACGAGCAATCTCAAGGTTGAGCGCGATTCCCATTGAAGTGAACCTCGGTCTTTCGATCACGAAGACTGTAGCTGATGTAAATAGAAATTGGGTGTTGCGCGCCCGAAAACCATGCACTACTGTGACACGTTTTGATGTGATTACACCTCATCGGATAGAGTTAGCAGGCATCGAACCCGGGACCATTGGGATGTTAGTTGTGACCGTTACCCCTAAGCCACCGGGTCACGACATGCAACACTTGGAAAAAGACCCTCAACATCGGAGGGGATCAAATTTGTCATCACGGTGGGAACAATATGATAGGTACTCATTAAAGATTCATTGCATATTACGTCACATAGAGCTCAATGTACGAGTCGGCTCTACTCTCCAAATCAGCTAGAAACAGTGCGTGTTAGTAAATTCATCTCCGTAGTCATTGGATTGATTCCAAACCAGGGGCAGCGTGTCATTACTGATAAGCAAAAAGTAAACAGATTTAGGCAAACTTTAAAAGCTTACAATCGGGGTTGCTCAAAGTAGACAATGATTTGTGGATTGGTATGTTTGGTAAATTTTTCAAACTGCAATATACCCAACTGTCATTTTCGGGCGCCTGCTTCACGGACGGCCAATTCTAAGCCGGTTTTGATCAAACAAAAATGACTGGGGTGATTTTTCACAAAGCAGTTTGACTTTGTCGGTTTATTCTGGATTTCCAATGATTATCCGTCAATTAGCCCCTAATCGAAATGCAGACAACACCTTCTCCTTGCTGCATCCGCAGTGGGATGGCATTCCATTGTGCATTTTGCATCAGTGACAAAGCGAAGGTTTTCTCAAACGGAGACGGAAGCTCTACCTTAAGCAACAGAACGGACAGAGGAAGAATCAGGCGTCGAGCCTCAGTAACAGTAATTCCAAGCCGTCGATCGGACATGGGGTACAGTTACTTGGTTCCCTTCTGTTTTCAGTCGAAACATGAACGGGCTATAGTTCCAAACGCTTCCTTATAGTAATTCCATCAACCATAGAACCGTAATATGATAGTGTTGATCAGAAAAAAACTTAACGCAAGACTGAAATGTACAACAGAATAGCAGAAAATGATTAAAAAGTCGACCTTGTTTGCGGGGCTTACCCTACGGGGATAGGTGCAAGAGGCTATAACAGTACACCCACCATCAGGTGAAAGTCGATCACACGAGGACCTTCCGCAATCCGCATCTAGGTGACTTCCCCATGCCGAGGCCACTGCTCCACTTGCGAATACCTTGCGGCAATTACCAATCCTCTGTGCTTTGAATCGCAGATGGACCTTGTCTGGAACAGCTGAACGGAGCATATTATGGAAAAACCCGGTGAAACAGTTCAAACCATTGTTGGATGTTTGCATTTTGGATACGGCCCTCGCGATCGGAATGATCTCGGTTTACCTCAAAGCGAACTGAGGTCTCAATAGAGGTTGCGTGTCGTAACCCAACCACACAGCGGGTTCCCCAAATGTAACTGCATTCCTTTCCGCAATGGAACGTGTTTCTCCTGGATCTGAGTTTCACCCCAGCTCAGGCTATCTCCACCAGATGAGTCTAAACCAGGACGAAACCGCGGTCGTGGCGTGTCAGTGTTGGGGGAAATAACACCCAAATATTTTCATTTCGAACACGGTCCACGCGATCGGAATTATCTAGGTTTATCTCAAAGTGAACCGAGGTCCCTATGGAGCTTGCTTGTCCGAACCCCACCACACATCGGTTTCCCCCCAATCTAACTTTGAATTGTTGGATATACATTCCCCCAGTGCGAGATTTCGAGAACAATTACCTGCTTACAATGATATCTCACAAATGTGAGATCCAATTTTTGTGTATACTGTGTTATTTTTTAATATTTCTTGTACAAACTTGAAAAGGTGCTCAGCATGCTGACAGTTCATAACTAAGTTTTTAAAGCTTTTGATCCTATTTCGTTGAAATTTACAGGTTCTACTTTCTCTCACAATACCGTTTTCTGTATTCAGTGTTCCCCACCAAGGGAATGCAGCAATCTGTTTCCGTTTAAAACTTGGATTCACACGTGTATTGATTGAGACACCGAAAAATCCCAACATATTCTTCAAAGCTCTACTTGGTTGCTTTAACTCTCATTCCAAATCCTGTGTTACATAGCTTGATCCCCTACTCTTTTACGCCTGCAACCGTCCTGCGCCGCCAATGTGACGCATCACCTGTCGGTTGTGGCTGAAAACGTATTACGCAACGTGGTCCTCACTTATTTTAGGATATTGCAAATTCACCTGTCTAAAGATGCAGATGTTGGACAATTCGCTTGCATTTCACACTTGTTTGTCTGACGGGAAGGGGAGTTATGCGATAAACTTTACTTTAACGATCACCTAAAATTCTGACGAATCTTTTTCAGCCCGACTTGCCCGTTTGGGCTTAGCGGTCACCAAATATCTAGACTAATCGCCTGGTTAACAATCAGTTCCACATTAACAGCGGTGTATGCATGCAAATTCATGTCTTTCATGTTGTTCATACAACGCAAAACCCTTAACAACATGGTATACAGAGTTCTCTGCGTAGTGATTCAGTTCTCTTCGTGATGACCATTAACAACACGGACTAATTCTTAAACAGTCTCTTCTATTCTTTCGCACGTAGTAGTCGGGCACTGAGCGTTTGTTCGCATGATTGTATTCCATATTAGACGGTTCATAACCATAAAGCGAAGTAGTAATATTCGTAGGAATTTTAAGCGCGGTAGCGGTCAACTCAAGCTAATAGACTTACCGTGTTTGTCTTGCTACCATCGAGTACCGTTCCTGATAGTTGAGTCAACAATGGTTCCGTGAATTGGCTAAAAGTTCTGACGCTGTTATGATACTTGCCAACTAATGAAGAATGTCTGGGTACCGCGCGATGGTGCGGAGTTGTTTAATCTAAACTGTGGCGCCTTGTGCGCGGATGTGATGCTCACGAGTCAGGCAAACAACTATAATCTACGGTCAAACGTTCCGCACCAAACACCTTATTGTACAGTAAGATAATGCTCATACTTAGCATTTTACACAACACGCTCAGACAAACAAAATAACTCCACCTTCTACTCATTAAGAATCAGTGATCACCCTAGCAGCTGACAAGTCACCTAGATTGGTGGCGGCTTGTAAAGGAACTCGTAGCTCTGGAGCCCAGTTCAGTCCTTTGCAAATTTATAATCCGCACGACAGTGAAGGATAAACCGCAGTTAAACAGCAATCATTGTGTTCCTTCGCCGTCACCCATGGTTCAGTGGCATGAGTCGCTGGCTCATCATAATAAGGACGTGTTCGAATCCGTCAGAATTCAGGGGAGGCGTGCTACTGAAAGGTCCCAATAGGACGAAACGACCGTCTAGTGTGTTCCTGGATTTGTAGTGGCTGTCTGTTTGTGTCAAGCTGCGATGAATCTTCCCAGAAACGGGGAAAATTTTCAAATAGCTACAGAATTGTCACAAATGATTTCCGGAAACTACAGAAACTTACGCCCAACACGGATTAAGCAGTAGTCTGCCGGGTGCATATTTGTAATGCAAGATGACGATGTCTGCTGTCGTGCCCTAAGGTGATGTTATTTTTCAGCGGCTTTACAAGTCAAGATAAGATAGAGTTTATAAACCCTAGTGGGTGCATGTCGGCATTTAACGCCGTCGACTGCAGCTGAACTAAAACAACATCAGTACATATGTAAAATTACATACACAAGAAAATAATGGGAACAAGGCGTATGGATTTCACCCAAGTAGACAGTCTCGACTCTTTGGAGAAAACTCCCATATTGCTGGAGAGTTCCATTATGACCTTTCCGCAAGATTATACTGCAGAGCTTTTTGACAAGTTGTCTCATTTTGCCAAGGGCAACACAATTCAAAGTGAGCGCAGCGTCTGAACGTATTTTTCAAAAAAAATAAGGGCAGTGTAATATGCAAGCTTGGGAGAACTCCGGAGATTGGAACTGGAGATTTATTAAGCAACACGTAGCAAACTACAATAGAGGAAATAATGTTATAAAAAGGAAGATAAACATTACAGTCAATCTTCTTCTGCTTGCACTTCTTCCGTTAAAGCACACGACCAGGTTCCTGCAAGGCAAATGAAAGCGCAGCGTAAACACCAGTTCAAAGTCAAGCAGCGCGCCACAACAGTTTCCGTGCAACACTACACTACACCCTCCCTCCTTCGAGCGCCGTCCCCGGTGCTACCCCGTAGCCCCCCTCAGCCGGTACTTCAAGTTCACGAGCGACCACTGGTGGTGAATCTGCCCTCTCTGACTCGATTGACTCAGCTTCTTGTCTACAGGGTTTGAGGCGATTGAAATGGACAACTATAGGTTGACTATTAGGGTTGTTACGATCCTTTATCATACAGGTGGCCTCAGAGAGCACTCGTTCTACCGTATATGGACCCGTCCACTCTCTGTGAAACTTTGCCGGCACTCCTGATGCTTGAGGTTGGTGTAACCAAACTAAATCACCAACTTTCAGGGGTACGCCAAATACCTTCTTGTCGTAATATTCCTTCTGACGCCGGTGTGCATTCCCTAAATGCACTCGTGCTGACTGATGAGACTGCCAAAGGGAGTCTAACAACTTGCTAACATATTCCATAACCGATGACTGTAGCTGTTGCGTCATCGGTAGACGTAGATCCGAAGGTAATCGTGCCTCTCTTCCTGTCCACATAAGGAATGGTGTCTGTCCCGTCGATGAATGTACTGTGCTCCTGTATGCAAGTAGGCATCTGGGCAACACATTGTCCCACTCATTGATATTCCTGTCCGCGAAGGCCTTCAGCAACGATTTAAGAGAACGATTTGTTCTTTCCACTTGCCCATTTCCTTGAGGATGATACGCTGTGGTTCGAGTTTTGTCTATCCCAAGTAACCGACAAACTTCAATTACCAGTGAGCTCTCAAAGCACGATCCCTTATCCGAGTGTAGCTGCCCTGGTGCACCCCAGTGGCAGACCCAATGATTTACCAAAGCTGTTGCCACAGTGGACGTATCCGCCTGTCTTATCGGTATAGCCTCGCACCATTTAGTAAAGTAATCGATCATGACCAAAATAAAGCGATTACCTCTTGGCGTCTCAGGTAAAGGGCCTATGAGATCCACTCCTACTATCTCGTTAGGATAGCCGGCCACCATGGGCTGCAAGGGTGCACGATTAACAATACGAGGGTTTTTAAAGGTACCACATTCTTCGCACGCTTGACAGTAGTTGATCACATCTCTCCGTTGATGGGGCCACCAGAAACGTCGTCGAACCGCTTCGTCCATTTTATTGATCCCTGCATGTCCCATTTCCTTGTGTAAATCGCTCAGTACTTCCCTAACCATAGAATGCGGGACGATGATTCTTCTCGTGTACGTCGGTCCGAAATTGAAAACTAAAACTCCTTCTTCGGTGGTCAGGTAATCCCACATGGACCAAAGGCAACGAGCTTCATAACTTTTCCCTTCCATCTCTTTACTCGTTGGTTTATCGCCGCCATTAAGACGCCTCTCGTAGATCAGTGCGGTATCGGGATCGTTCGCCTGTGCCGTTTGCCACCGACCATACTCTGCTCCTTGAAGATTGACGATTGCTACGTGTTGCGTATTACACGAAGGGCACTCTCCATGGTTACGAGGGGGAATTCGTGACAATGCATCAGCATTAGCGTGTTGCTTACCGGGGCGATGTCTGCACTCAAAGTCATATTCCTGCAATTGCTCTTGCCAACGCGCGATTTGGCCTTCGGGGTCTTTAAAATTCTGCAGCCACCGAAGTGACTGGTGGTCTGTGCGGACCAGAAACTTTCGACCTAATAGATAATGTCGGTTTTGTTTGATGAAATATACCAATGCCAGCATCTCCTTCCTAGTCGTGCAGTAATTTCGCTCCCTCGGGCTGAGACTGCGACTACAATATGCCACGACTCGTTCGACACCATCCGATCCCAGTTGTGATAACACTGCTCCAATCGCCTTATCACTCGCATCAGTATCCAAGATAAACTGGCCAGCAGACGGGGACAAATCGGGAAATATTAGCAAAGGGGCCGTACAGAGAGATTCACGTAGGTGATTGAAAGCTTCTGCGCACTGCTTCGACCATTCGAACATGCGACCCTTCTCTAGCAATGAGTGTAATGGGGCTGCAATGGATGAGAAGTTTCGAATAAATCGCCGATAATATGATGCTAACCCGAGAAAACTACGTAACTCCTCCGTAGTGGTTGGCGTTGGCCACGACCTGACCTGTTCAGCCTTTACCGGGTCCGTTCGAATACCATCTCCAGATATTATGTGCCCTAAGTACGCCACTTCCCTTTTCAAGAGATGACACTTTGAGGGCTTGAGCTTTAATCCCACCCTCAACAAGCATTCCAAAACACTAGCCAAATTGTCCAAGTGTTCACATTCCGTCTTTCCATGTACGATGACATCATCCAAATACACGAGGCATTTACGCGGGATCAGGTCAGCTAATGCTTTTTGCATAAGCCGTTGGAAGGTAGCTGGAGCGTTAGATAAGCCAAATGGCATGGTCTGAAACTCATACAACCCAGAGGGCACGACAAAGGCGGTTTTCGCTCGATCGCTCTCTTCTACTTCCACCTGCCAATACCCGGAAGCCAGGTCAAGTGTGCTAAAATACACAGATCCGCCAAGTGCGTTGAACAGATCGTCGATCCTTGGGAGTGGGTAGGCGTCCTTTCGAGTAGCCTCGTTCAATCTTCGGTAATCGACGCATAATCGGAAGCCACCGTCCTTTTTCTTTACAAGGACAACCGGAGATGCCCACGGGGAGTTGGAGGGTTGGATAACGTTCTTCTCTAACATCTCATCTATCAGCTTCTGTATCTCACCCTGCCAGTGGATTGGAATACGTCTCGGAGGCACTTTAATCGGTCTAGCCACACCAGTGTCAATAGAATGTTTCACGAGGCCGGTCCGTCCCAAGTCGCCGGATTTCCATGCAAAGGCATCTGAATAATTTTGTATGACCTGCGCTAATCGTGCCTGTGTTAATGTGTCAGCTGAAAGCCCAATCGACCGAATAAAATCGTCTACACATTGTTGCTCTTTGACGCTGCACTCATATAACGTAAAATCCTCAAAATTGCTGTTGCTGCTTGCTCTCAGCAGTATGGTGCACGAATCAGTGATTAGTTGGGATTTCTCCAGGTCAAGTCGGCATTTTAACCTCCTCAACAAATCTATTCCGATAATAACATCGAACGGTATCCGATCAGCAACGATAAATTCATGGTTAAACCTTGTGCAGGCTACAACAACGGGGGCAACGATGGAATTCCGAACAACTAGTGGTAACCCGTTGGCCGCGGTAAGGCGAGCGTTACAAGGTTTTCTAACACAGTTTGAGAAACTCCTACTCACGCTGGCCCTGATTAGGCTTCTAGCTGCGCCAGTATCCACTAGCCCCAGTAAGCAAATCCCAGCTATCGATAATTCTAGTGTTAGCGACGTCACAATCGAGTTGCAAGTTAGAGATGGTATCACAAATGATGTCATGGTATGCTCACCTGGCGTGTTCCTGTAGCGAGACGATCCGCGGTATGACGTTTGTCTGCGGGGCCAACGGAAACCTGGTTGTGCCGGTCGTCGTGGGGCAGGATATCTCTGAAAACGGCCGGGATTTCCCGTCATTCTTTCAGGTCGGACGCCTCTATGTCGTGTGTTTCCTCGTACCGCAAAACAGCCAGATGTAGGCGTACCCATGGCTGCATCTATGTCTTCCAAATGGTCACTTGTTTCCAATGCCTCGTCCAAACGGCGTGGAGGGTATCGCAAGAACTCCCTTTTAATAGACGGCGTTTGAACGCCCTCTAGGAGTTGTCCTAAAACCAGCTTTTCACGTTCATCTGGCGTTTCGTTCTCGTACGCGATATCGGCCATCCTCTGCAGTTCGCGAACGTATGTGCGTATGGTTTCCGCCGGATATTGGTAACGAGCATGGAATGCCCTGCGTAGGGGCGCAGGTAGACCGGGGCGGGCTAATAATCGGCGCATGGCGGAAAAAGTCTCGGTTGTGACTTCTTTCTCCAAAAGTTTACTGTCTGCAACGATATCAAAGGCCTCTCCCGAGAGCAGACCGGCGAGCACAGCTGCCTGTTGGTTGGATGGGAAATGACGCAGATAAAACTGGACTTGCTTTTCCCATCTGGGGTACAGCATCCCCAGGGTAAAACGTTCTGGCGGCGGGATAGATGGCATGCTGGTTGAAGAAGTTGATGAAGTCGACATTTTCTGCAAAGTCCGTGATAACATATCGAGCGAAGCGGCGAGCTTTGTCGTCGGATCATTAGCGTCGAAATTAGTTTCGTCATCGGCTTTATTAGTTGTCTTCGGCATTATCTTCGTTAGACCAGTGATACAGGATTCCTGATGAACGTGCCTCGGCAGGGTCGCCAATATTGTAATATGCAAGCTTGGGAGAACTCCGGAGATTGGAACTGGAGATTTATTAAGCAACACGTAGCAAACTACAATAGAGGAAATAATGTTATAAAAAGGAAGATAAACATTACAGTCAATCTTCTTCTGCTTGCACTTCTTCCGTTAAAGCACACGACCAGGTTCCTGCAAGGCAAATGAAAGCGCAGCGTAAACACCAGTTCAAAGTCAAGCAGCGCGCCACAACAGTTTCCGTGCAACACTACAGCAGCTAGTTGGTCCGAATGACCTTGGAAATAGTCCACTCAAAATATTGATCAAAAGAAGTCGGCTGAAATGTTCACTGAACTTGGTAATTTTGTTGCAAACGTTTCGTCACCAATGGAGGTGACATCATCAGTACGTATTTGCGTGGTGTGCTGAAGCGTTGAGGAGCCTCTCTGAGTAACCCGGTTGCCGTCAGTATATGTAATGTAATACTAATAAGCCATTGCCTGTACTTGTAATTTACCCGAAACAGCAGATGAAGAATCTGGAAACGATGTCTGCTATCAAGGTTTTACCAACGCCTTCGATCAGCTGGATCATCACCAATTCCACCATAAGTTGAGGACTCACGAAATCGGTAGCAGTGTCCTGTGATGGATCGACAACATACATCTTCATCAGCGGTTGCATGTGTGAGTTTCAAACTCATTGTATGATGTACTGATTTAGTGTGATGTTCCACAAAGAACAATGTTGGGTCCGCATCTATGCTTAGACTTCAGTGACAACCTAAAGCAAATACGGTGCAATAAGAAGGTCTTCATTTTGTTAAGGATAAGCATTTGCCATGCTTTCGCCTGCTCAGGGTTATTGTGTGGAAGCTAGTTCTGACGAATTCGCGTGGGTGACATAAGCCGTCTTTCCACCTTCCAACATGGTTCTTTGAGTAGGATCGTGCGTGTCTGCTGGTAACTTCTAGATCACATTTATGACGTCACATGTCTAGTTGTGGGAAATCAGAGCTGGATTTACTGCTCCCGTCTAGATGAGTTTTAAGCCTTTGCCGTGTCGTGCCGCGCTCTATGCTCTCATGTTGAATTGGACTGGAGACAACCGCGTGATGATCTGCCTTCCACTTCGCGACACTACATGAAATCCTTGTGGTCATGTCTAGCTGCGGTTGGACTCCTACGCCTTCGTTGCTGGAAGCCCATGTGTAAGCAGTGCAAGTGGCCTGACACGCTTGCAGACATCGCTTGCAACCAGAAACTGTGGAAGAACTCCATGCAAAATAGTCATGCTTCACAAGGCACCTAAATATAAGATTGAAAATAAAAAATGGCTAACTTCAAAGTGGAAAAAATAAATTAGATTTCGGTTCTTTTTTGCTGAAATTGTGCTCCCCTATGATTGTTGTGTCTTTTGTTGGTTACATATAATTTCTTTAAAACACTGCGTAGATATATAACACAAATCTAAGGGGTCACAAGCTGAAACTCGCCGTATGAGATGGCCAATTAGGATGCCACCGAAATTTTATTTCCGAATTTGTTATACATAGAACCTTTTCGGACTCTTTTCGTTTGTGCGCCTAGGGTATCAAACTTTTTAAAACGACTCCTTGATACATTAGCCCAGTTGAATTACGTGGCATTTTTCACAGCCATTGTGTGTCGACATAGCGCAAATGGGCAATGCCCACTAGGTCTCCATGACATCTGGTTAGACGGATTTATGTGTTTTGGAGTAGATATTATAGTCATTTTACGCTTCATGCGGAGGATGATGTTGCATTTACTATGCTTCTTCACCGCAGTTGAGATAGACAGCCTTAAAAGTAGGTTTTTCAGCATAATACTAGACCTGATTGAATGTATTAGAAGTTTTTTGCTTAGTTCTGATAATTCTCTGCATTTTATCTGTTGACAATACGATATTTTTCTTTTGTAATTTTTGACGGTATTTCGTGGATATCTGTCGCATACACTTAACTTGCCCTAACCTTACATCAAACTCTGAACACGTCTTTTTTGCTCTATTCTTTTATAAGGCCGCATAGTTACTTTCCACTTTTCGGGTTCCTTTCCTTTCACGATATGTATTTTGTGTTTGATATCCCCGTGTGTCTGTGCTAGATTTAAACGTTGACACGGTGCCTACCAATCGAGAAGCCGCTTCCTCAATTATACTATCCCCAGGAGACCGTTAGTCATTGCTTGGACAGACGAGATCCACGGTCTTCTTTACTGTGCTAGGCTAAAAATGTGATTCTATACTTCCAGTGTGGAGCTGACTATGGTTTAGCTGTCGGCTTATGTACGTCTTGAACGCATGATTCCCAATTTAGATAGACATCAAGACTGCTGCTGTTCATTTTAAATGAGTGTGGACCGGCCGACTCCGTTGTCGAGACGTGGCTCCCATCCACATGCCTCCTGGCCTTATTCCTTCTGGTTTACACTGAATGGGGAGTGTGTGGATGGAACTGTGCGTCTGGCAGCGCAAGCTGTGAGTAGACGAAAGCGTCCTGTTCAGCTGGATGAAGCTGTTAAAGTTTTCAATGACTTGTGCGGTCACCGACCTTGACAGACACCCACAACGGCCAGCGGTTACAAGTGAATTCCCAGACCATCTCAATCCCCTATACAACTTGGTAGGGGCGTTCTGTCCTAATAGTGTTGATATAGTTATGAGATTTGGTCCAGCCATTCCCTTCAGTAGCAACTACTGTGTAACTAATCTTCGCTCTAATTTGCATGCATTCTCTGTTTTTAAAATCATCTAAAGTACAAAATAACAACGCCAGGAGTAAACATAAATTCGCCGCACAAACTATAGAAAAAGAATGAGTACGAGTGTTATTCTAAGAAGTTTAAAGATTTCTCCTAGCAAGTCCCTGACGGTAAATGAAATTAAGTCTGCAGTCGGTTACCGTAAACATCTGTAGCGATTATGTTGCGGCTGTGTGAACCTAAATGTATATTCAGAAGTTTAGTCAGATTCTGACAAGCGCGAAACTGTTTCTTAAGTGACAGTTTCCATAGGATACGTTTTCGATATAGTTAAAAATGATCCATTCAATCAGTGACCCTGATACGGAGAAGACTGGTTAACTTTGGGACAATGAGTGATGCGCCTTAGTTGGCCCATACGACATGCGTGACTGTTACGGGAAGGGAGAACTTAGAAAAACACTTGTACAAAGAATAGTTTAGGTGACGAATATCTCGACAAAAGTTCTTCATAAATATCAGAATATGAGCTCACAGTCATGCGTTTTGACAGAATCGCAGCAGGCAGAGGCAGTTATGCTTCAAGACATGCGGAAGCTGCTTCTAATCTAACCTCAAGTTGCTACAAGTTAGCTGAACAGACGCACATTTCTGGTACCTTGCTTCATGGAAGTTCACGCGTGCTTTAAGCCACTGAGGGAGTTCAAGCTCACTTCTATATATACGACCTAGCCTCGGTAGTGCATCCGACAAGGGACCGCATGTTTATTTTCAGAATGTGGGGAAGATTGAAGGACCGAAAGGAATAAATGAGTTGTTTGCTTGGTACCAAAGTATTCGATGGCAGTTCGTCATGACTTCTCAGCCTGACTCCAACATGACGGTGTTCTCTGGGGTACTCTCTTAAAGGAAACCGGTGCTGCAAGTGTGGTGCTGGTATATATATGAAAGTGCATTAATGATTTCAAATTGTAGCATATTCTGCGCCGAAATTTGGTACATTTTCTAAAATTGATCGTCACCATATAACTTTTCCCTTTAGCTTATAGACCACGTGTAACTTGCCCTCAAGCTTACAAAATGTGACATTCTCGCAAGTTAGATACTCACTTTTGTGCCGGGACGAAATAATATTCCATTAAGTGTTTCTCCCAAGATACTGCGCTGCAAATTGTTCTACTCGAGTAGATGAGACTTTGTGAACAAGTGCAATCCGGTCGTTATTGCTCTGTGGTCACAGTTTCCGCCAAATATCCCAATTTTATTCGCCCCTTCCCTTTGGCTTTCGGTCGCTGTGTGGTCTTGTGTTGTAGCTTGGCCTTCGATACTGGCTGGCAAGCACCTTTATTGTGTGGTCCTTTCAGGGTAAATCTAGGCGGGACCATCCACGGCTTTCCAGTAATTTGCAACCGCCTGATACCTCGATAGCTCGCCATTCCTTAAGTTGGTCGCCAAAGGTTTCAGAAGTTGAAATATTTTTAACAGCTCTTGAACCCAGTTCTCTTGTTTCCTAGGCTTACTAGCATCAATGTTTGTCAGTCTAAATCTAAGCTAACCATTGACTGGACTGTTTTATCTTCGCGGTGCGTTTTATGTTAGGCAAATCAAATTACCTTTCACGTACAGCCGAAACCGGTGTGTTATGCTGTCTTGTGTTACTGACCGTGTACTGATGAGAGTCGTAGTTCCACACGCGGCAAGCAGTAACAGTTTCACATTCAACGACTTGGTGTTTGCAATTCTTTACTGCGTACTGAGCACTGTCGCATTGTATCTAATGGGATGAGAATGCTTTAAGGACCTTTATATTGGGTATTTCTGAAGAACCAACCCGCTGATCTAAGACAGGACAGAAGCGAAACGGTGATTTCAGCCGATCTATCGAACACTCCGAACGTGCATTCAGAAGCTGCGGCCATCTGTTAGATATGAACTAGATAAAGTGAGTCCATCATACGAGTACAAGGACAAATATCCTCCGTTTAATGTTTACGAATTATTTGATGGTGTACAGAAAAGTAGCTCAATAGCAGAGGCAAGTCAGCTGTTCCGGCGGATGCAGTGGACCATACCATTAATTGTCTTTGCGATTCACCAGAAAAGAGGCGACAACTCCTTCTTCGTCCTCAACAAGTCCAGTTCGAGTTTCACAATGACTCAGCAGGATCGTGGTACCTGACCATTTCTGGCGAAATATGGCTAGTGAAGTCACAACTGGGTATTTATCTACTTCGTTTGAAACGGTGATACTACCCGCCATCGAGTACTGTGCGAAGCGGGCGCCGTATCATCAGAATGATGGAATCTGTGTAATAAGAATTCGGAAATTAGCGACTAGGACGATTGAAAGTCTACATCAACCATATTATAATGAATGCCTAAGGAGCCAAAGATTGTTTTGCTCGAGTAATACAAATAAAAATGAAAATGGTAGAAATGTTAATGATTATTGGGGTCATTAGTCGTGTGTAACATTTTGATCTGTTTGAACTAGATTTAATCGGTTACCCGCGGGGCATCAGCTTATGTTTGACCATCGGA